GGAAGTCTGCTACAGGCTCCCTGACCAGGAAGCCCGAGTGGGTGAGGCCCTCTACAGACAGATAGGAGCAGCCTCATGTTCGCAAGCCCTGTCTTCATGGGATACTTCAGCCACCCCAATGCCTGTTGAAGGGACAACACAGTAGGGCATAAGCAATCCAGGAGGTCTTTGTAATGCATTGATGATAACTTCTTTCTCCAAGTGACAGAGAGTGACTCCAGTGAGGAGTGGTGCTATGCTCGACCTCGTTCTCACCAACAGGGAGGGGCTGGTGGAGACTGTGAAACTTAAGGGCAGCCTTGACTCCAATGGCCATGAAATGATGGAGTTCAAGATCCTTAGAGTGGTGAGGAGGACACACAGCAAGATCACTACCCTGTCCTTCAGGAGAGCAGACTTTGGCCTCTTCAGGGATCTGCTTGTAAAGTACCATGAGACAAAGCCCTGGAGGGAAGAGAGGCTCAAGAAAGCTGGTTAATATTCAAGGATCACCTCCTGCAAGCTCAGGAGCAGTGCATTCCAACAAAGAGGAAGTCAGGCAAAAACACGAGGAGGCCTGCATGGATGAAAAAGGAGCTCCTGAACCATCTCAAACACAAAAAGGAAGTCTACAGAGGGTGAAGGCCAAGGACAGGTAGCCTGGGAAGAATACAGAGAAACTGTCCCAGCAACCAGGGATCAGGGAAAGCTAAAGCCCTGATGGAATTAAATCTGGCCAGAGACATCAAGGTCAACAAGAAAATCTTTTATAGGTACATCGGTGATAAAAAGAGGACTAGGGAAAATGTGGGCCCTCTCTAGAAGGAAGCAGGAGACCTGATTACCTGGAATGTGGAGAAGGCTGAGGTATTCAATGACTGTTTTGCCTCAGTCTTCACTGGCAAGTGCTCTAGCCACACCATCCAATTGGTAGAAGGCAAGAGCAGGGACTGGGAGAATGAAGAACCACCCACTGTAGGAGAAGATCAGGTTTGAGACCACCTAAGGAACCTGAAGGCGCGCAAGTCCACAGGGCCTGATGACATGCATCTGCAGGTCATGAAGGAACTAGCAGATGCAGCTGCTGACCCACTATCCATCATATTTGAGAAGTTGTGGCAGTCTGGTGAAGTTCCCACTGACTGGAAAAGGGGAACAGCCCCCCTTTTAAAAAAGGGAAAATAGGAAGACCTGGGGAACTACAGTCCAGTCAGTCTCACATCCGTGCCTAGCAAGATCCTGGAGTACATGCTCCTGGAAACTGTGCTAAGGCAAAGGGAAAACAAGAGGTGATTTGTGACAGCCAGCATGGTTTCACTAAAGACAAATCATGCCTGACAAATTTGGTGGCCTTCTATGACAGAGTTACAGCATTGATGGATAGGGGAAGAGCAACTGACATCGTCTACCTGGACTTGTCCAAAGCATTTGTCACTGTCTCGCACAACATCCTTGTCTCTAAATTGCAGAGACATGGATTTGGCAGATGGACCACTCAGTGGATAAGGTGGAGTGGATGGTCGGACTCAAAAGTATTGTGGTCAACAGCTCAATGTCCAAGTGGAGGCCAGTGACGAGTGGTGTTCCTCAGGGGTCAGTATTGGGGCTGGTGCTGTTTAACATCTTTGTCGGTGACATAGTGGGATTGAGTGCACCCTCAGCAAGTTTGCTGACCACACCAAGCTGTGTGGTGTGGTCAACACGCTGGAGGGAAGGGATGCCATCCAGAGGAACCTTGACAGGCGGGCCTGCGTGAACCTAATGAAGTTCAACAAGGCCAAGTGCAAGGTCCTGCACGTGGGTCGGGGCAGTCCCAAGCACAAGTACAGGCTGGGCGGAGAATGGATTGAGAGCAGCCCTGAAGAAAAGGACTTGGAAGTGCTGGTGGATGAGAAGCTCAACATGAGCCAGCAATGTGTGCTTGCAGCCCAGAAAGCCAACCGTATCCTGGGCTGCAAGCACTATCCAAAGAATAGTGACCAGCAGGTCGAGGGAAGTGATTCTGCTCCTCTAGTCTGCTCTCATGAGACCCCACCTAGAATACCCCTTAGGGCTCTTTACATTAGTGATGGGTGATAGACCAAGAGGAAATGGGTATAAGCTTAGTCAGGGGAGATTCAGATTGGATGTTAGGAAGTATTTCTTCTCTGAAAGGGTTGTCAGCCACTGGAATAGGCTGCCCATGGAGGTGGTTGAGTCTCCATCCCTGGATGTGTTTAAGAATAGGGTGGATGATCTACTTAGGGATATGGTTTAATGGGGATTAGGGACAGTTGGACTCGATGATCTCTAAGGTCTTTTCCAACCTAGAAAATCTATGAATCTATGAATACTGCGTTCAGCTCTGGAGTTCCCAACACAAGAAGGACATGGAGCTGCTGGAGTGGGTCCAGACGAGGGCCATGAAGATGATCCAAGGGCTGGAGCACCTCTGCTATGAAGACAGGCTGAGAGAGTTGGGGCTGTCCAGCCTGGAGAAGAGAAGGCTCCAGGGTGATCTTATAGCAGCCTTCCAGTACTTAAAGGGGGCCTACAGGAAAGCTGGAGAGGGACTTTTTACAAGGGTGTGTAGTGATAGGACAAGAGGCAATGGCTTTAAATTGAAAGAGGGGAGATTTCGATTAGATATAAGGAAGAAATGTTTTACAATGAGGGTGATGAGACACTTGAACAGGTTGCCCAGAGAAGTTGTGGCTGCCCCATCCCTGGAAGTCTTCAAGGCCCGGTTGAATGAGGGCGGCTTTGAGCAACTTGATCTAGTGGAAGGTGTCCTTGTCTGTGGCAGGGGAGTTGGAACTACATGATCTTTAAGGTCCCTTTTAACCCAAACCGTTCTATGCTTGTGTGAGAACAAAGAAGTTATAAGTGCCAAGGTCTGATTTATCAAAACTTTCCAAAGAATAGTTCACTTAATGAAAATTACAGAAACCTTGTCTTAAAGAAAAAGAAGAAACAAAGTCTTAATTGTACAGAAAGTTTAATAAAATAACAAGGAGAGCCACTTGAATTCAATTTCTATGCTCAAACTTTAGTTACTGAAGTAGGACAACAGACTGATCTGAGATTGATTTGCAATACCACTACTCCAGCTTTAATTGATAGAATAGGGTGAAGGCATATTTGATGCACATTAGCCAACAATGTTTTAATTCAAAGGGACCACACTAAATATTTACTTCTGACTTATGACTGGCTTGCAAAAGAATGAGAACATGTCCATGTTCCTGTCATTTGAGCTATCTTTTGCAGTGGTGTTTATAAAATAGACACTCGAGTAGCTATGGTTCAGAAGTAAGTCTCATCATAAAGTAATATTCAGGCTTCCCATTAAGTTTTTGGGGGTTTATTTTTTAAAAAATGGTTTGCCTTATTTTTTCTTAAAATAATAATATTAGATGTCTGTTGCTTTATCATGGCTGAAATTGGCCTTACTGTTGTTTGCCGTGCTTCTTTCATGTTCCTGAAACCTTTTACTGAAAATGAAAATTGGATTCTTAGTAATGAATAGTTTGATTGCTGTATCTGCAATGTAATTGATCAGGTTTCTTTCTAGTACTCTTTTCTTTTAAGCTTCTCCCTGTAAGAGTTCTTACTCATACATGGTAATAATTTTACTATCCATAAAATGTCATTGTATTTTTCAATTTCAGGAGACTGGTATAAGCCCTTAGACTGCTGTTATTCTTCCTTCTTATCTCTGTTTTTTTCCATATTCTTCTCCTGACTTAATTTTGTCTTCCTTCTTCAGTTTCCTTGTTTTCTGAATATGTCTCGTTTTCTGAATATATCTCATTTTCAAGAGCCTTGTACTTTTCCTGTCCTGTGCAATCTTTAGAATCAGACTTTTCTTCTTTGAGCCTTCTCTCTCCCTTTCCTATTTTGATTGGAATTTCTTTACCCAAGAAAACTCGGGTAGCTAATTAACTTAAAGTACAATTTTTATTCCTTTTCAGGATCCAACAGTGAGTCAGTTTCTCAGGCTGGTACTTCTGATTTTCAGTGGGATTTAAGTCATGCTCAACCCCCTGTTGATGACGAATGGTCTGGGTTAAGTATGTTCCTCTAAAATGTTCATTAACAAGTTTTGTAATTACTGTTACTTTAAAGTGTAGTATATTAGATACATGTAAGAGCCACTTGTGAGCATCTGAAGAAAAACCTGGAATGTTTCACTTCTGTAGGGCTAATTGACAGTTTTAAGAAAGCAGGAAGAAGTATTTTGATGAGTGGTAATAGAAAATGATTAATTTTTAGAAAAAATATTTGGTTATTGAAATTAAGAAGTGAAAGAGAACTCATGCATTTTGAGCTAATTTTGGCTTTTGCTAGGAAGTCTTGGTAATTAATTAAAACAGTCTTAATTTACTGCAAATGATGAGAAAAATATACTGTAAGTCTGCAACAGAGTCTGGGTATTTAGCAGATTGTGTTTGAGTCACAGAGTTTGCTTTTACATGTTGATACCTTACTGAAAATGTAATGTGACAGAAGACTTGTATTTAATCTAACTTAACTTGTTTAGCAAACGTTAGGAAGTTTACTTCCTAATGTGTGTAGAAAGCACATGCAGAGTGAAATCACTGAAATTACTTGGGAATTATAGTGAAGTTGGTGTACTCTCTCTGTTCCTCTCCTGCCAATTTTAAAATACAGTTGTAGTTCTTACCACAGTCTCTCCCTGAACAGGGCTGTGGTATAATAATAAAGTTACAGCTATTCCTAGATATTTACTAGTGAAACTGTACCTCTGAAGAACGATTTCAGCCTTAAATTCACTTTTCAAACAGCCTTATCATTTATATCTTTATTCAGTCAGATCTGAAAATGTTTTAAGAAATAGTTTAGTGCCTCTCATTTGGTCATTGACCGAACCGGTGGAATGAGCTGCCAGGAGCCCACAGGTCATGCGACACCGGCTGACAAGAGCTGGAGGCAGCCAAGCCCCTTCACGTGCATAAAGAAGCCCTTAGGGAGCACTAGTGACCAAGACATGGCTGTTGGCAGCCAGGGCAGAGTACGGCAGTTTGCATGGAAGGGTGTGCAGTAAGGGTGCTGTAGCTCTGCCAGCTTGACCAGGAAGTGATGGTATCCACCTGGCAGGAAGCCATGGCCTCTCTAAGCTCTGCACCCACGGTGACTGATGCAGCTTCCCAGACAGAGCTCTGGTGGGAATGTGCTGCCACCCGGGTGTCAGGCTACAGGATGTGCCCAGCTCTTACAGGAGTATGGGACAGCAGCAGTGAGCACACCTGTGGGAGATGCACCCAGGTAGAGGAACTACTCAGTGACAGAGCTCTGGGTGGACATGAGTAGGTGGAAGGGGTATCACGGAGTGCAAGAGAGAGAGACTATGGGAATTGCACCCTACTTTTCCTAAGACAGCCCCAACAGGCAGACAGGATGTGTGATACAGAGGATTCCCTGTCCTCTCTCTGCCTGGCTGAACCCAGTGACTTAAGGGACAGAGGGTGATGGCAATGCCTGGCACAGCAGGCACATCTCCTCTGTGACTACCCCACTGTCCCAGGTGCCCTTGAATAATAGGTATGAGGCTCTGCAAGTGCAGCCAAACAATAAAGGAGAGAGCAATGGCTTGGAAGAGTCGCTGAGATTGTCAGCCTACATTCTGGGTCAAAACTGCTTCCATAAAGAAAAAAAAATGGGTTGTTATCATAGGAGACTCCCTTCTGAAGGGAACAGAAGGTCCAGTGTGCAGACCAGACCCACTTCCTAGGTAAGTCTGCTGCCTCCCTGGGACCTGGGTTAAAGATATGAAAAGAAAACTTCCTACCCTGGTACAGCTCTCTGATTATTATCCATTCTTGATTTTTTTTTTTTTCAGGTAGACAGTGATTAAGTTGCAGTAAGAAGTCTGAGGGTAATCAAGAGGGACTTCAGGGCCTTGGGACAACTGGTTAAGGGATCAGGAGCGCAAGCAGTGTTTTCCTCTATTCTTCCAGTTGCAGGGAATGATGAGAGGAAAAAACACGAGGAGCCAGCAGGTCGATACCTGGCTCTGAAGCTGGTGTCACCAGCAAAATTTTGGGTTTTTTGATCGTGGCTCAGTCTGCATGATACCAGGCCTGCTGGTGACAGACGGGATACATCTCTCTCAAAAGGGGAAAAAAGTCTTTACACAGGAGTTAGCAGGGCTTATTGAAAGTGCTTTAAACTAGATTTGAAGGAGCAAAGAGGTAAAACCAGGCTTGCTGGAGATAAACCTGGGGCAGCACACCAATGTTTGGTGGTGTACTAGCAAGGTCCGTCAGTCTGCTATCTCAGTAGAGACAGGGGATGGAGATCCGTGTGACAGCAAAGACGCAGGGGTTATTGATCTGAAAGAAACCACAGAAGTGCCTGAGATGTAGGAGTTAGGACTTCTCCCCCTGAAAAAGGTGGCAAGATCAATAGCCCAACTGAAGTGCATCTACGCTAATGCACACAGCATGGGCAACAAACAGAAGGAGTTGGAAGCTGTTGTGTAGCAGGAAAACTGTAATATAGTTGCCATTACAGAAACATGGTGGGATGGCTCGCACAACTGGAGTGCTGCAATGGATGGCTATAAACTCTTCAGAAGGGATAGGCAAGGAAGGAAAGGTGTTGGGGTAGCCCCATGTCTTAGGGAGTGTTTTGATTGTGTAGAGTTTAATGATGGTGACAATAGGGTTGGGTGTTTATGGGTAAGAATGAGGGGGAAGGCTGACAAGGCAGATGTCATGGTGGAAGTCTGTTATAGACCACCTAACCAGGATGAAGAGGCAGACAAAATATTCTATAAGCAGCTGGGAGAAGTCTCACAATCACTAGCCGTTGTTTTCCTGGGGGACTTCAACTTACCAGATATCTGCTGAAAATACAATAACAGCAGAAACAGTCTGGGAGGTTTCTGGAGTGTATGGAAGAGAACTTCCTGACACAGCTGGTGAGTGAGCCAACTAGGGAAGGTATCCCACTGGACCTGTTACATGCAAATAGAGAAGGACTTGTGGGTGATGTGATGGTTTGAGGCAATCTTGGGCATAGTGATCATGAAATGATGTGAGTTTTTGATTCTTGGGGAAGTAAAGAGGGGTGTCAGCAGAACTGCTACCTTGCACTTCCAGAGGACAGACTTTGACTTGTCCAGGAGCCTGGTTGACATAGTCCCTTGAGAGGCAGTCTTGAAGGGCAAAGGAGTCTAGGAAGGCTAGACGTTCTTTAGGAAGGCGATCCTAAAGGCGCAGAAGCAGGCCATCCCCATGTGCCGAAAGACAAGCTGGCAGGAAAGAAGACCAGCCTGACCAAGCAGAGAGCTTTGGCTGGAACTCAAGAAAAAAAGGAGAGTTTATGACCTTTGGAAGAAGGGACAGGCAACTCGGAAGGGCTGCAATGATGTCATGAGGTTATGCAGGGAGAAAATTAGAAGGGCCAAAGCCCAGCCAGAACTTAATCTGGCTACTGCTATAAAAGACAATAAAAAATGTGACTGTAAATGCATTAACAACAAAAGGATGACTAAGGAGAATCTGCATCCTTTATTGAATGTGAGGGGAAACATAGTGACAAAGGATGAGGAAAAAGCTTGAAGTACGTAATGCCTTCTTTGCCTCAGTCTTTAATAGCAAAACTAGTTGTTCTCCAGGTACCCAGCCCCCCTGTGCTGAAAGATGGGGAGCAGAATGAAGCCCCTGTAATCCAAGGGGAAATGGTTAGTGACCTGCTACATCACTTAAACACACACAAGTCTATGGGGCTGGATGAGATCGGCTCAGCAATAGTGTGGGAGCTGGTGGAAGTGCTCACCAAGCCATTTTCCATCACTGAGCAGCAGTCCTGGCTTACCAGGGAGGTCCCAGTTGACTGGAAGTTAAGAAATGTGACACCCATCTACAAGAAGGGCCAGAAAGAGTATGGGGAGAATACAGACCTGCCAGTCTGACCTCGGTGCCAGGCATGGTTATGGAGCAGATCATCTTGAGTGCCATCACATGATCAGGCCCAGTAAGTATGGGTTTATGAAAGGCTAGTCCTGCTTGACTAACCTGATATCCTTCTATGACAAGATGACCCCTTTAGTGGGTGAGGTAAAGGCTGTGGATTTTGTCTACTTAGCCTTTAGTAAAGACTTTGACACCATTTCCCACAGCATTTTCCTGGAGAAACTGGCCGCTTATGACTTGTCTGGGTGTACTGTTTGCTGGATAAAAAACTGGCTGGAAGACCAGGCCCAAAGAGTTGTGGTGAATGGAGTTAAATCCAGTTGGCAGCTGGTCACAGGTGGTGTTCCCCAGGGCTCAGTACTGGGGCCAGTTCTGTTTAATATCTTTATCAGTGATGTGGACAAGAGGATCGAGTGCACCCTCAGTAGGTTTACAGATGACAACAAGCTGGGCGTGAGTGTTGTTCTGCTTGAGAGTAGGAAGGCTCTACAGAGGCATCCGGACAGGCTGGAGCAATGGACCAAGGCCAGTTGTATGAGGTTCAACAAGGCTAAGTGCCAGATCCTGCACTTGCATCACAGCAATCCCATGCAATGCTACAGGCTTGGGAAGGAGTAGCTGGAAAGCTGCCTTGTGGAAAAGGACCTGGGGATATGAGCTGACGGCTGAATATAAGCCAGCAGTGTGCCCAGGTGGCCAAGATGGCCAACAGTGTCCTGGCTTGTATCAGAAATAGTGTGGCCTGCAGGACTAGGGAAGTGATTGTTCCCCTGTACTCGGCACTGGTGAGGCCAGACCTCAAATACGGTGTTCCGGTTTGGGCCCCTCACTACAGGAAAGACATTGAGGTGCTGGAGCATGTCCAAAGAAGGGCTACGAAGCTGGTGAAGGATCTAGAGAGCAAGTCCTGTAAAGGAGCAGCTGAGGGATTTGGAGTTGTTTAGCCTGGAGAAAAGGAGGCTGGGGGGAGACCTTACTGCTCTCTGCAACTACCTGGAGGGAGGTTGTAGCAAGGTGGATGTCAGTCTCTTCTCTCTAGTAACAAGTGATAGGACAAGAGAAAACGGCCTCAGGTTGTGCCAGGGGAGGTTTGGATTGGATACTGACAAAAATTTCTTCACTGAAAGGGTTGTCAAGCGTTGGAATAGGCTGCCCAGGGAAGCAGTGGCATCACCGTCCCTGGAGGTGTTGAGAGAGACATATAGACGTGATGCTTAGGGACGTGGTTTAGTGGTGGACTTGACAGTGCTAAGGTTAATGTTTGGACTCAATGATCTTAAAGGTCTTTCCCAACCTAAATGATTTGTATTATTCTATGAAAAAGTTGTCAAGAAGTTGACCAGAAAAGCTGCCTTGCATGTTACCTTCTGTCTAAGAACAGCTTCCTGTTTAACGACTGCAAAAGTAGAGTGAATTGATGCATTTCTTGATTCTACTAGTTTTGACATGACTGCTTTGACACCAGATCGTTTTGAAACTTACCTTTTGTCTTCTATCTGGTTTAAGGATAAGGGAAGTGCATTTCAGTTAATCATTTGAAAGTGATCAGTTTTACATACTATCAAAAGCATGATTGATTCAAATTTCTGAGCATAGAATGTTTATGTCTGTAGCTTCTGTTAATAGAGGAATTTGGCTATTTTCTTTAAGCAACTAATGAGAAGGCAGTAGATAAACGATAAAATGTTATGTTGGGCATTAATTGTTTTTCAAATCAGTAAATTTTAGTGTCCGAAGTAAGTGTAATTGAGGTAATATTTTTATAAGAAAGCAAGAGATGGAAAAGTATTCTAAGTAATCTTAAGATCTCTTAGTGTATTTTTTGTTTCATAATATTTGCCAGTAAATGTAATCGGGTTTATTACTGCTTTTCATTTTGACGTAATTTTCAAACGTTTAAGCTGAATCCCACTGTAGTTGGCAGACCAAGTTTGCCTCTTCTCCTTCGGTTTGGCGTAGACCGAGAGAGAGAGAGATGTATTTGTGATGTTGATATAAACATGAAATGAAAGGCGATCTCTTACGAGGTGTTCTGTTTTAAAATTGGCTTGCTGTAACATTCAGCTAAACAGTCTAAGTCTCAGTTCTTCCCTTCAGATATTTTTAATTTTTTTTATAATTGACCCTTTAAATCTCTTTCCTATGTGGCAACATAAATATGTGCCATCATAAATGAACAATAGCAAAATGGAGTAGGGACTCAGTCTTAGGAAAAAAAAAGGTTATTAAAAAATGTCAGTGTTATAAGATGACTTTTGGCTTGGATTTACACTTTCAGATATATCACTCTTAAAGGATTCTTACTAAAGTAAGATTGATCAGTGTTACAATTTGTCTTAATTTTTTTTCACAAGCTAGGGAGAAGGTTTAAGATAGAGAACAACTCTTAAATTTGTTCCTTTTCGTGTAGTCTAGAAAAGTATCTCAAAGTGATTGCATCTAGCTAGCTGCTGCTGTGACTAGTTTGTAATCCCATTGCTCTAAAACAACCAAGTCTTGCTCATTACTTATAAAAGTCTTCCACCTATCATTAAATCTTTACATTTCTTTCAGAAATACAGGAGATAGATATTTGTACCTTGATATCGGGATGTGGTTTTATGCATAGATACTTTTTTTTTTTCATTTTTAAACTGTTAAAAAGTGCCTGTAAAGTAAGGAGACATTCCTGAAAATCTTGCTCATCTTTGTAGATGGACTTTCTTCAGCTGATCCCAGCTCTGATTGGAATGCACCAGCAGAGGAGTGGGGAAACTGGGTAGATGAAGAAAAAGTTGCTTCTGTTCCTCAACGTGAAGAGATACCTGATGTTCAGAAGGTAAAAGGTGGTATTTTCTCCTTAGCTCCAAGACTTTGCCCTTACCACTGCCATTTGTTAAAATAACTTAAGGCTAATGATAAAGGTTATCTCTCATCTCTTTTACACTGATAAGAGTAGCACAATTGTGTTTAATGTGTACACAGAGAAAGAAAATGCTGAATGTTGTTGTTGAGAAAATAGAAGCCACTTAGCTCCATGTCAGATCTTACTGTCTCACCATAGTATAAGGATTACCTTGTTGTTGTAGGCTACTAAGTGAGGATTTAGATCTTTTTTCCATAAATACTTCTTAGCAATATTTAACTCTGTGTGAAAAACAGCATTCCATGCCACCAGTACATGGTGCTCTGTTGCCTTTTTCATTCCCAACTTCTGCACTTCCATTTCCAGACAGCATGTAAAGAATGTAGTCTTCCTAAAATGAACTGAACAAATAAGATTGTGTTCATTTATACTTTTGTATGCAATTAAATTCCTAATAGCTATTAATTTGAATTTAGTCTATAGAAAGTGTGTTTCATTGTAATTTTAAATGTTAAATACCTTATGTTCCCATATGAAGTCTTCAGATAATGAAAGAGAAAAAGCAGAGACGCTTCTTCAGAGTTCAAGTGGGAAATCCAAGAAAAAGAAGAAGAAAAAGAAGAAGCAGGGTGAAGAAGCTAACTCTCCTGCACAGGTAAATGGAACAAAATTTGGGTGGTCGGAAAGGCAGTTTGAGAAATTCACAAAATCAACTTATTTTTGTATATTAGTAACTTAAGCAGTAAGTATTTTGGGGAAATGTGTTTCCTTATCTTATTGGATTGTCTACTATTGTTTCTCAAAAGTTAAAGTAAACCTTCTTTTGTTAGTATTTCCTTTAATTTGAATGATTCTGTGTTTGACTTCTGAATACAATGTAGTCTTGCTGGATTTATGGAAGGCATGAAATATGTGGGAAGTATTTATCCTGCATTATTTATTTTCTATCAGATCAGGATTCTGTACTGTAGGGATGCGTCCAACAGGAACTTTCCTCTGCATGGGAAGCCTCTTCCTCCTGTCCTTTGAAAGACAGCTGCTTCAGTGGGCATAGCTAGCTAGGAGAATGAGAGAAATGGAATTTTTCTTTTAGGCTGTCTTCAAGTACAATTCTATGGGAATACAGTGTTTTTCTGAAGTACTGTCATAGCTTCATTTATGTGAAGTGGTAAGTATCAACTCCTTGAACTCAGTAGGTGGAGCTACTCTGAGTCAGATTTGAATGAGAGGTATATTTGCAAACTGAGGATGGTTGGAGTTTTCTGTGTTACCTAAATAGCTTTTGAAGAATTACATTGAAACAGATTTGTTGTAAAAATAGCAAAAGCAGATTGCGCTTCACTTGGCAGTTGAATCATGTTTGAATAGATGAAAACAAGTACTTTTCTAATAGGAAAATGCTTTTAGTAGCTCATGCTCAGAATACGTCCTGCTTCTGCTTGTAGTGGCAGCCATTCATAATTTGTTCTTTACAAAATGTTAAATGCTCGGTTGAATCCGACTAGGTGAGCTGGAGAGGGGAGGAATGCATTAGTTCGGTCATTCTTGCTTTGGATTTCCTTTTTATGATTATCATGTTTTCAGTCTGAGATTTTATTAAAACAATTTTAAAAGATTGAATTGCTGTTACGTAGAATTCTTTTAATGTTGTCTGTGTGGAGATGGATGTTTGTGTCGATTTGCAGTGTTTCTTTTGAGGCAAATTCAAACTGAGGGTACTAGGACTGCAGCTTTTTTGTAGTTGAAGTCTGTTGTGTTGTGGTATCTGCAGTGACTCTAGGTGTAACAGGTGTTTGCCCATGTCTTGCATAGATCTTCAGATTAGTGAGTGCATCCTGAAATTTCTTTATCCATTGCCTGTGAGCTGCCTTTTAAGTTGTATATGTCAAATGTCATATTAACGTCATCAGGTTCATTTATTCTACCCATCGGTCTCCAGCCATTCTGATTTTGTTACGTTTTTCTTTCAATCTATCAGTCTGAGATTGTCGGTTTAGAGATGAGAATTTCTCTGTATTAAATTTTTCTGGAAAATTGGGAGGTGTTGCTTGATAGGAGCAGACAACTAATACACCACAGATAAGTTATCCTTGTTCTAGCAGTTTTTAATTTAACTTGCCAGCCCTACTTCAAACTCACTTAAAATCTGTATATTTATTCTCTGAAAATTGAACATGTTCATTTAAACAGCACCATCTTTCTCATTGATTATACTTAAGTGTTCATAGTCATATTTGTTGATTTCAGTGTTTGTCAAGGCAGTGAAAGCTACTGTCAAAGCTAGATGTAAGGCAATATATGTTCTTTTGTAAAGAAATCAGCAGGCTTAGACTGTGACTGTGTTTTTGCAAGGTTCCAGGGGAAGTAAGTGGAAGAACAATGTTTCAAGAAGGTACTTCCAGCTTAAAACTGGAGGCCTGTGTTCTATTTATTGTTCACCACCACAGGATTCTTCTGGTGCTATAAGCAAATGTTACTACTCTTATTCCTCATGTAAAATGTAAACTTTCCACCATTAGAGTGTTTAAGGAGTAAAGCTTGAGACTTGCATATTTTGAATATATTTTCAGTTTCTGTGCTGAGAGGTTTGTTTTACAGGCATCATAGCAGACTAAATAGGGTTGCAAAAATGTTACTAAAGCTTGATGTGATAAAACTGTGCAGGTTAATACGCAAAGCTTGCATGTAGAAACATTCCGACAGAGCACAGAATTGAGAGCAGTCAAGGCTCATGATACTTCTGCAGAGTTTTTAGAGTAACTTCAGTTTAACTTCAGTGTCTTGTAATTTCACAAGAGTGTGAAGTGCAGTTCATTCAGAGATTGGGAGTTTTGTTAGTAAATTGCATGAAGAGTACTGCTTTCTGGGCTTTGTTGGCTTCTATGGGTGTTTTTGTATTATGTTCTATAAATTTTGAGTGTTGGCATAGGCTAATATGAGCCCACTACTTCAATATTTTTTTTTTAGACAGGTTTTCTTAGTTAGAAGCGGGATATGGCAACGAAACTAATGTGCTGGGAGGAAGAGTCAGAACTTTACTGCAAACACAGGCTCTCTTTTTTCCCCGGCTCCCCCCACCCCCTGTTCTGTAGGACACTGAAGAATTGGATAGAGAAGCTGGAGAGGAATTTCAGGAGGATACCTCAAAAGTTCAACCACAGCAGGAAAAAGCTTTTTCTCTGAAGACCAGAAGTACTAGTGAACTGGCTAAGGTAGGGATACAAAATTGAATTTATGTTTCATTTTCTGACTTGGAAGTGCTCAAAGTCTGTTGAAACATTAATTTGTGTAGGTAAGGTTACAGTAAGAATACTGCTTGAAGCTATATGTTTATGAGTATAAAGATGATTGAGAGGTCAAATTTTAGGTATAGGTCAGTTACGAGTTTTAAAAGGATGTCTGCTCTGAAAAGCAGTATCTTCTAAATCAGTAGTCACTTTCATGACTGTCAAGTTATTTTCTTGTTTGAATATTCAAGCAATAGTTTAAAACTTAGAAATCTGGAAACCTAAGAACTAATAGCATATTTTACTGTTTCATTGCAACAGAATGAAGTGTTACTAAGTTATTGTATTCTGACTTAAATGCAGTCTAAATTTGATTTTTAATGGCTGTGCTCAGCTCAGTGTTAATGACTAAGTAAGACAAGTTTTAATTTGAACCAATTCACAAAGTGGCTGCTTCAGCTCACAGTTGAAACAGATGTCCTAGGAAATACAAGCTCTCTTTAATCTTTCTCCAACTAGCAGCTTTTTTACATACTGCTGTCCTACAAGCATCATGTTGTAGGAAGAAGTACAGTATTTAATATTTCTAGTGGTATTGGGTTTGTGTTCCATAAAGAGGGAACAATAACAGTGAGACAGCAGTGTGGTATCACAGAATATCTGTCAAAATATTGAGTTTTACTTTTTAATTGCTAAGCATTTGTTTCACAAAGATAACAAGGCCTTAGGATTCAAATGAAAGTATTAGAATGGAATCTTTTACGAGAGGCTGCAGATTACCAAAGAAAAAGTACAGAAAATGGTTATGTGCCTTGAAAAGCACATTCAGACATAGTTTCAGCTTATTCTAAATATCCTATGTCAAAGTAGAGCTTTTACTGTAATTATTTAGTTTTGATTCAGTTCAACCTTTATTCAAGGTTAGCAACAGCTACCTGTCCTGACTAGTGCAAAGTTGGTTTTGTGGGGGTGTTTTCGAAGCTGTATCTGAAAAAGCAGACATCAGCCTACGTGTGCAAGTGGCTTTATTCCTGGCAGTATGTGGGTTTTTTTTTTAAAGAGCTTAGAAGCAAATACATTATTTTGTATTAGAGGCCATAATTGAAAATGCGTAGATAGAAAACTCATGTTTGGATTGTGACATCAAGGTGGGTTTTTTGACATCTAGAAAGAGGTGTACTGGTACATCCCAAAAGGCTAGCTTTTGCTGCTTAGAAATCCAAATTGATTTGAGAAGCAATTTTCATCTACAGGTGATGATTCTTTTGATCTGCAGTTAAGATATTTTTTTTTTTCCTCACAAGGTGTTGGCACTGTGAAAATATCAGCCCAGTTTCAGTGGACTTTGCTGAATTGTTTAGTGTTTAAAACCATACCAAACTTCCTAGGTGACTTGATGGCATCAGCTCTGATGTAGACCTATGCTGGGCGCTATTTTTTGGAGGCTTGAGTGCTCGTGTTACTCTTGAGTCTTAAATTCAGTCTGTTCATATATGTGCCTATATAGCTGTGTTAGTGGTAATTTTGTGAAACAAGATGTCGTCAGTGTTAAACTTGGTGTGGGGGCAAAGGACAAACAAAACTATCATTAACAACATTGCCCGGGAGTTAATTGGACTTGATAAAGGAGAATTTGTGAATTGTTGTACCTGACAATGTAGATAGTCTGTCAGTCCCTACCAAGTCTCCTTGCCATCAGATTTTGGCTTTATCGTGATTTCACACGCAAAGATGCCCTCTGATGGTTTTTTGACTTGACTGTTCCAAAAAGTTTTAGGAACAGTCTGTGACTGATGTGTGAAATGGATGACTTAAGTTTCCAAGTTTTTAATTAAAGCTGCTTAACTTCTTGCTCAGTATGATATGATTAAAAAGAAAAGTAAGAAAGTGTATCTTTTTGGGTTTTTTGTATGTTCTGAGTAATTTTTTTTTGAGATGCTTATATTACAGTGATGGAAACTGTACAAACTGGTGGCTATAATCTAGGATCTGTGTACATCCACATCAAGGGCTGGATGTAGACTGTTTTGTTGTGATAGTTCCAGGTTCTGGCTGTTGTGGCACAGCTACAGCCATGACTTCTTAATAACATCCTGAAGTTTGGGGTTTATTGCTAGACTGAGGTACCGTTTTCTAATACACTCTGACAAATAGGTCACTTGCTGTGGGATAATACTTTTTTTTATGTTCTGACTTTCCTATTGGGATGTCAAAATGTGGCGTTTTTTTTGCATTTTGACTTCTATTTTACTGTGTTTTAATTTCAATGAGTGCTACATAGTAAGCTACAGTAACTACATCTTGTCTCTGTAGTGGAAACCTTCAAATTACTCCTAGTATTTTTTTCAACTGTCTAGTGTATCTTCTGCTTGGTAGTGCTTCCTACAGTAGTTTCCACTGAAATACTTTCTTTCTGCTCTCACAAATATCTGTTATTCTAATATAAGCATACAGAGGGGTTTGAGCGGTTGATAGGAATGTCCTCAAATGCTTTCTAAATACTATAAAAGTTTGATTTATTTGGGTTTGAATTGTGTATTTGGACTTACACAGCTTGCCTGTTTGCCTTGCAACCAAACGTATGTGTCACAACCTTCCATCTCTTCTGAAGTGTGTTCTAGAATCTTTTTAGGATCTTAGTGATTTCTAGATTGTTCTCCCTTTCTTTGCATGTTATGTATTTTAAGAATTAACTGTTTTGTGTGATTAATCTTCACTTGTATGTAACTAAAAGTTTTGGCACTAGATGGCAGTCATAGTCTTGCAGCCTTGGTTTAAAGTTTTTAAGGCTTTGAATACGGGCTTAATTTTTCACGTCCATGTTTCCAGCAGCTGCTAAGTATACTGCCAAAATGACTCCATATAAGAGTGCTTTACTGTTGTATGACTAGGTAAACTTTTGGAAACTTTTTTTTGTTTTTCAAATAGCCTGAGGAGGCGCCTTCACTTGCTGTTTCTACTGAGCCATCTGTAATTGTATCAGAGAGCAGTTCTGACAAGATCGCTTCCCAAGTGCCACAGATGCTGCAAGAGACAGATGTTTCTAGTCCCAATATTAAGCAAAACAGTGTGCCTCCTCCACAGAGTAAGTATCTCTGAGTACAACTCATTTGTATGAGTACGGGGTGTGCTTTTTTCCCGTTGGAGCATATATAGTCAGAATGCTTTGCCCTGAGGTTTGGGTTGAGTGCGCCATATCAGGTACTTAAGTATTTCATTTCTATATCTTGCTGTATTTCAGCTTTCATTGAAGTAATTTGACAAATGTGCTTTCACCATGAGGTAAAGCTGGCTTCGTATGCTTGAATGACTGAAAATGTCTGTTGGCCTTGTCCAGTCCTTAACAGACATTTGGGCGTACTCTTCCCCATCAGGACTGGAGCTCCATGCTGTGACTTCAGTAGTTCTGCCAATTCTGTTTCAAAGGCCTGCTTGAGAGTCTTCAGTGGAACAGATGGGTACTAACATAGCAGCTGACAGGATGTTTAGCTACTAGAAATCTGGAAAAAAGTACAGCAATTCAATTTTCAACCTACTGGGTTTTTTTAACTTCTCAACTTAGCTTATTAACATCTATTTCCATATGCTTCTGTGAAATGTAGTAATCATGGAGTAAAAGAGTTGCTAATATGGGAGTAGAAAGATACTGGATGATGCACTTATTTTTGTTGTAGCCTAACAGCACATACATCAGGCTGAACTACTGCAGGTATATTGCTTTTTAAAAATATGCTGTTCCTGGAGACGTCAAACAAACCTTCTGTTGTACACGTGATTGTACTGAAGTACTCGCTCAGACAGAAAAATTAGAAAGGAAGTCAACATGTGAAAGGCATGGCTTTAAGGAAAAAACAAACCACCCAAATAAATACTGACATCTTCTAAGTTCCTGGCTAAGTGTTGAAACACTAAACCAGTTTTTAATGACTGCAAAAGAAAGTAGATGATTTCATAATGTTAGATTCATTCAACTGCATTAATTGGCTTCTTGGTTTTGAATACATTAGAGAGTCTTTCAAGTCAATGTGTCAATTTAGAACTTCTATTTGTTCTGGTTTTAAAATACGAAGGCTTTTGTGACTGCTTCATGCCTCAGCAATTGAAAAAAAAACAACGATCTCTTATGCTCAGCATATGAAATACTTCACCTGATTTACCACTTTTGGCAGCCAACATGTTTTAAGGCAATCTGTTTTAATGAAATAACATACGCTTCTTTATGTGATTATAGATTCCATGTAACCACATCTTTATGTAGTTCCTTATTTTTAAAAATACTCTTGTGACATGTCACTTTTATTTAGTGGTTAAAAACAGTGTAATCTGATAAAAGTGAACATTTAATGTCAATTGTGTACGTGCACATTATTTCCAGTTACCCCAAAAATAGTGACAACTCTACTGCAAGTAATAGACTTACAGAATTAGTTACCTTCTTTGTGTATCACTCTATGTATTTGGGGTGTAAAAAAGTAGGCTGAAATTAGCAAATGTTGGTTTAGGTGCACTTCAAGTTAGACTATTTGGGAGAAGCAGGTAAATGTAACTCTACTTCAAAAATCATGCTAGTTGATTGTTCTGAGTTATTTCATAACAACATGGAGTGTACTATATAGGATTTTAAAAGTCAACTCTGTGTAAACTTTCTCAGTACTAACACTGTAGTTATGTGGTTTTTTTTAGCTAAGTCTGAAGAAAGCTGGGAATCCCCCAAACAAGTTAAAAAGAAGAAAAAAGCAAGAAGGGAAACGTGAACTTCCTGAGATGGACACGTGTTGCTGAATATTGTCGTGAAGATTATGCTGTTTATGCAATAATTTGTGAACATGTACAGAATTTTATATAAATTTCAAACAATTTTTAAAAACAGAACTGCTGTGAACACAAACATCTTTAAAAAGGAATCAAAGGAAAGTAACTTTATGATATAACAAACAGAACATGATACATTTGAAAGACGTTCTGAAGAGTCTGTTTTTCCAACTTTTGGAGAGAGATCTTAAAAAAAAAAAAAAAAACTGGTTTTACAACACAGTGCCCTGTTTACAACAGATTATACTCTCATCTACAGCTGCGGATAAAAGGTTAATTTCAAGGAAGGGTTTTCTGTAAAAATAATTGTCTGTACAATAGTGGGTGTTTCTTGCCTCTCTTATGAGTGATGCATCAGAAGCACAGAATGTCAACCATTTGAATTTGTTTCATGCCTAAATCAAAGTGCTTTGATTAAATACGTAATCTGCCATATCTTTACAGTAAGTTGGTTAGCAAGTCTGCTAGCTGTTACAGGAATCACAAGTGCAAATCATTAACCATTTGTACAGTCAGACCTTCATGGTTTATTATATGAAGTTAACACAATAAAACTGCTTTGGGTTAAAAGTTTGAGAATGTGATTTGAAACTTGAGTATGGTTCATGAAGTTATTTTTGATAGTGTCTATTACCTTACTTGAATTACTGAAGATAACAGTATATTTTTAAGAATGCAGTAATGTGCATAAAATTGGTTTTCTCCTTCATTCCCTACAGTTCTTGGTTGATTCAGACTCCCATCTAAAACTGTATTATTTGAACTTTTAAACTCATGGAATGAATTAAAATCAAACGTTCCCTTCCCTTAACACTTTTTATCATACCTGATTCTGTTCTGCCATACCCAGTTCTGTTCTGTTCTCAATTACTAAAACTCTGAAGAAAGCAAAGTGAATTTTTTTCACTCACAAATTATTTGGAATTTCAAAGATCTGTTGGAGAACTGGAGTGGTTTCAGACAGCTTTAATTGACATTGTCAAGACCAGTTATCAGGAACACATTTTTTTACTGCCTTAACCTGTAGTATGTAGAATATGTCTAGACTTCTGGACAGGAGTTAGTGTTTTTTTTATATAAAAAGATAAAAATTCATGCAAGTATAGCAGTTGTAAAATAAAGTTCATTTCCCGCTTGAAACTGTTAATTAAAATGGTGTTTAAGATGTGTTGTCATTTTCAGGCACTGTGTAATTACATGGTATCAAACTGGCAGATGTGTTTGTGTCTGTAAGGTGCATGCTCAGCCATGTACACTGTAAATAGCCTTTACAAAAATTTGTTTGATAAGGATGGTAGTTAACATCACCTGGTAAACTCACCTAAAGAAGAGCCAAGATTTTTTTTTTTAAATGATTGACTTCTGGTTTTGTGGCACGAACAGAACTGTTAACAGCTGTAACACATGGTACTGATCAACAATCTTGTACTCTTACTAGACTGCAGTTCAACAGCTCTGCAAGGTGAGAATAGTTGATGCAGCAAGCTGGTTTTAATTGTAGTGAATATACATCTTGCTGATGGAGAGCTTTCCTAATACATGGATACTAACTTGCACAGGTGTTAACCCCTGTGTATCAGGAACATGTGACACTCTAAATTGATTTGTTAAAATAAATTAAGCATATTGACAGTATTGATTTATTTACTGGGAGGGAGTAATGCCTGAGGCTGATACCTGTCAAGACTCATGTAAAATAAATTTAGAACTGAAATACAGCTTTTCAAGGAGTATCTTAAGGCAAACACGAAAATAGGATGTCATGAATTCATGCAGAGTCCTTTGCATGTAAATAATATTATAATTTTACTTGTCTTCTTCATAGTAAAGGTTAAAAAGAATACCTTTTGAATTCAGGTTTGCAATGTGTGTCCGACATGTCTATTTCCAATCTGTATCTTGTGCTACGAGCCTCTTTAGTAGAAAATATGAGGATTTTTATGTAATGAGAGAAGCTGCCCCAAGGGCTTTCACTGCATAAATTCTTTTTTTTTTTTTTTCCTCTTGAAGATAAAATTGGTGATATTTCTGGGTTAGTAAGCTCTAGCTCTTGAATAGCTTGTCATTCTGGAAAAAAAAGAAACAAACTAGCTAACAACATAGGCACCTTGCTAATTAACTGCTACTACTAGGCAGGATCATATAAATACATAGCCTTCCTTTCAAAAATGTTGTTACCTATTTAGCGGCACCTCTTACTCTTTTCTTAATGTGCAGTTTCAACGTCTTAGAAAACAAAACTTGCTTTATTTGACATTCATTAAAGAGGTAGTAAATGTATAGCATATTGTCTATCAATAGAAACTCTGTTATCTATGTACTGTCATGTTTCTATGACTCAAGCAGTGATTAGTCTTAACGATACACTGAATCCAGACTTTGGTACTTGGATAGAAAGAGAAAACACCATTTAAAGAAACTTAATCACTTTTTCTTTTTTTTGTTTTGTTGTTGAATGCATGGAATGGTTTCATAAATCCAATATGTTGGGTTTTTTCTAAATACTCTGGAATTATTTGTATGCGTAATTTAAACTTGTTGTGATGATGTGTAATTGGATAGTCATGGCATACTTTTATTTCTTTTGTGGCGAGGAGAAGGTGTACAGAATTCATATGAGCTTGTTACAAAGGTAACAACTGTGCATTGGTTTGGAGGGGAGTGAAAACTGTATTTCTGATGCCCTTTTAGAAGTCTAAAGAAAAAAGTGCAAGACAAAAGCACTACTTTAATATTTACTAAGAAAGAATGTACATATTAAACATTTCAAATTCATAGAAATACTTCTAGTACTTGTTGTGTTGTAACTGAATTGTATCTCATTGGAAACTGCCTTACTTATAGTTCCTAGCCATGGGATCGTCCTGTGAATAAGGCTTTTGAAAACCGCAGACGTCAGAATACATGGTTTAAGCAGACTTCCAGCTATTATTAATCATGGTTGGTTTGCCAGTTGAGATTTCAGTTGTTAAAAAAAAAAAAAAAAAAATGCAAGTCACTTGTGCCTGGGAGTCTCCTAGTGACTGCTGAGTGCCGGTGAAGGACAGTTTCAGTTTTCCATGTCAGTGCTGAAAGATTTCTTGATTGTTATGCTGTGAATAGAATGAAAAAAGCTAAAAAATGGAATTACTTCTTAAAAGATACTGCTAAAATTATTTTACTGTTGAAATGAATTGTTTAATTTAAGGACTAAGAGCATCAGTTGAGTGAATTTGGGAGGGGGGAAAGACCAGGAAGGCCTGGGTGGCCAGTAGTTCTTAATTTGAAAGTAGAGTGGTATTGCCAGGGATTTTATTCCCTGCGGGGCTAACAGAACTGCTGTTAGTTGGGATGGTGGGAGCAAAGTGGGGGAACTCATATTTTGTTATGGCGGGGGAATGGTGGGAATTACTGTTTCCTGTACTCTATATCATGTTGCTATTAATGGTTCACAGATTATTCCTGTTGAAACTTGGTTTGTTTGCTAAAATTGCCTAGTCACCATAGTGGATCCCTTCAGTTTAAGAAACTATGGGACTTATGTTCTTTTAATTATCTGGTTACTTGTACCAAGGTGAAGGTTTCTGTTTCACTGAAAATCATTTTCTTTACTGAAACTATGATGTCGTTAATTTTGTTGTATTCTGGAAACGAAAATTGCATTTAAAACTCTTTAACATGAAGCTCTTGGTTTCAGGGTTTCATACAATGCTCTTAAAGAACATTCGTAGGAACATCTGCAGCTCAAAGCAAGTACTTTCTGTCCTAATTTGTAGCATCAAGTGACTTCTTAACTTGGCTCAGTGTTTTTGATTTAGCTCATGGCAAAGGGTAAGTCATGGACCACTCAGAACAGGATCACCACAGTGGGCTTGTGTAACTGACTAGTTTGAGATGGTTCCCTGTTTTCTCGGGGACAGCAAGTCTTTTACACGCACAATGTTTCTACTTAGCTGTTCAGTAGGTTCTGGCTTGGAGTTAAGTGATTCCTTATTTCAAATACCTGATGAAATATAAACCAAATACTTGATTACTGAGGTCTTTGTTTTCAGATGCCGTTCTGACTAAGGCTGCCACGGCTTTTCTCATGACTGTGCTATTTCCTTGACCATCCTTGTCTACCTGCCTAACAAACAAAGTCATGCCTTGAGCTAAATCTGCAAGTGAAGCTCTGGATGGGAGGTGACTCCTCTCTGATATGATACCCTGACTTGGACTCGCTCTTGGACAGCCAGACTTTAGTGTGTCTTTTGAAGAGACATGCTAGACTGGAGATAGGTGTCTCTCTGAGGCTTAGACAGTAAAAAGAATAGCTGTATCAACTGATACAACGTCTGCTGTTGAGGGGACGAGTGTATATCCAAAGAGATGTACAAGCTTTGCTTCTGCTTGCAGAAGTCTCTGAAGGCATTATGAAAGATCGCTAACCTTGCATTTTCACCCTCATGCAGGCAGCTATCGAATGTGGAAAAATACCTGCAGCCATGTGTGAAATTACTACAGAATGAGTTTTCTCAAGAAGGGAGGGACTCTGTGGGAAGCTTCCATGGAGGATAAAGGAGCTAGTAAGTGCTGGAAGCACGAAAGCAGTTCATCCTTGCTAAAAGTAAGGGAAGTAGGTGGAGCAAGAGACCTCCTTGGCTTAACTGTAAGCTTCTGAGTCTGTTCAAAACCGAAAGAGAAGGGTACCAGAGATGGAAAAGCGGACAAATACCCATTGAGAGCTGCAAAAGCATTGTTAGAGTGTGCAGGGATGCAGTTAGAAAAGCAGAAGCTCAGCTTTGATTGAAATTGGCCAGAGATGTCAAAAGCTACAAGAAAGCAAGAAAGATTGTTTCAGGTACGTAAACAACAAGCAGAAACAGAAGGAAGATACTGGCCTGCTGTTAAAACGGGAGAGGTGGATTAGTCACCAAAAATGCTGAAAAGACAGAGATTCTTAATGCTTTCTTCATCTCTGTCTTTGCCAGCACTGTCATGCCCCAGGCCTTGGAACAAAAATTCAGGTTGATGCGAACACAGACCCACTGTCAGTGAAGGAAGAGTTGGCGTGTGAACTATTACAGGAGCTTGATCTCCCTACAAATCGATTGGCCCGGACAGTATCCACCCAAGAGTGTTAAAGAGAGCTGGCTGACATAGTCATGAGGCTGCTCTCCATAGTCTTTGGGAAGTCGTTGAGATTGGAGGACGGCCCAGAAGACTGGAAGGGGCAGCCAATGTCAGCTCCATCTATGAGAAGGGCTTAAAGGAGGATCCAGGAAATGACGGGCCCATTAGTCTTACTTCAGTCCCTGGAAAAGTTATGGAATGAATCCTGCTGGGACTGTCACAAGTCAAAGCACATGATCTGGAAAAGCTAGCATGGATTCACCAAGGGCAGCTTGTGCTTGGCAAAATTGATCACTTTCTGTGACAAAGTAACTTGCTCGGTTGATGTGGGGTGAGCAGTGGACACTGTCTACCTGGTGTTCTCTAAGGCTTTTGATATGGATTCCCACAGCCTCCTCCTAGAGAAACTGATGCGTTGCGGTCTAGTCAAGTGGTCTGTGTGGTGGGTGGGGAACTGGCTGACGGGCTGCATG